CTGTTTTCGCTTTTTTTTTGAAATTTTATTTATAGAAAAGTAGTTAGCCTGCTGGATTACGTCTCGAAGGCTCAAACCGTAATATGTCGCTAAACAGCAATGGAAGCATTATACCTGTGACAATTAATATTGCTATTCGAGTAAGAGTGACTGCACGTGCTGCTGACTGGTTGTCTTTCTTTTAGTTTGCTGGAAGATTAGGGGTCTCTGATCTGACTGTTTGGATAGAACCAGTGTAATCTCTTTTTTTAAATGTCCATGCTCGCCACTATTTAGATGAGGCATGTATCTCACGTGATTAGTATATTTAGCATGTGGAAATAAATAGGGTGTTGTACAAATGAATGTATAGGGTATCTGAAGGTCGCAGGTTCGAATCCCCGTCCCACCAAACATGCTGAGTTGATTGTTTTAATACCTGTACGTACTTTTCTCCAGAGCACTTGCAGTCCATTGAAAATTCAACCATGGAGGTACACTTAAGGACACTAGTGACATAAATAGGAAATAAAATTTAACGGAAAGTAGGGATCCTTATAACCAACACAAAATAAATGCTGAAATAAAAAGTACACTTGGTAGGAAGTTCTACTCTTGAATCTTTCTGAAATGTCTCCCATGGTCGCTTCATCAATGGTGCTTTGAATACTATAGCAGCATATGTCTTGCAAGATCGTTTGGTAGGTCCAGCCCTCGAGTTAGAAGTATCATTCATTGATGACAGGAACCATTCTACAAGTCATCTGGCAAGTCTACACCATCGTTTTTTGGTTCTTGTCACAGATGTAGCAGCCTTGCTAGAGCCAAACATGTTTTTACCTTTCCAGGATATGGATACCCCTCAAGATGAAACTAATGCTGGAAACCTCTTTTAGGGCTGCAGTGGTTCTAATGAACATGCAAAAACATCTCTCCCTAATTTTTGTGTTGGATCCCATGAAGTAACAAATCACCAGGCACCATTTTTCTTCCTTGGGTGGCATCAACAGCAATATAGACCCATGCTGCTAGGTTGTTTGGAGGCTAGTTCTGCAATATATTATGACAGTGACTTCAACAATTCAACACTGAGGACGTTCCTGGCCCTCTAAGCAATATCATGGCCTTCATCATCTGTCGAAGAAGCTCAACCTTTGGAACATCAGTGTCAATCCATTTACATTTTTTGGCAAGTTCTCCCAAGTCAAACGCAACAACAAGCAATGAGTCTTCAACCATGGACCCACTCACTATTGGTAAACGTCAGTTAAGCACTTTTTGTCTCTACAATGTCTTTACGCCTCTAACTTTAGAGGAAGTCGGGGGCATTCTGGACCAGTTGCATGGCAAAACATTTGGCGTAAAACACGAACAAAACTGGATCTCAGAAACACTAGTTCAGGTCAGGTCGAGTTGAAGTTTGAAGTGAGAGACTGATTATGGCTGATACTTGACCTTAAATGCTAATAGTCCACATTCAAATGCAAAGGTTGATTGAGTTCTAATTGGTCAGAGGTTCAGTCAAGTGTATAGGTTAAGGGATCAATTACAGCCATGAAATAAGTACTGGTCAAGCAACACTTCTAGAAACTTAACGTGTATTCATACGTATCCTTGCTTGTAGAATGTGTCCAGAGAATATGATGACTTCCCAGCCCCTAGTTACCCTGGGTTTTCATTTGACCAGCTACCTGTAGCTATGCTGCCCTCTGTGGCTCCTGCTGGACAACAGAAACATACACATCAAACTCTCCAACTTAGTCTCATTTCTAGTAAACTATCTGGTTGTCACATAGACAGTGCCCAGTTCCAGTAGGTAGGAATGAGGGTTGAGACTGCTCATGCCCTACACAGTCAAGCTGACTCGGGTTAAGTAATGTTAATCTCACCTTTGACAATTAGCCTTTGCCAATGCTTTCATTGTCTTTCCTTAGAGACTTTCTTCCAGAAGTTTCGTATTACATAAACGGCTATATTTTATGTCTTAACAATGTACTTTGTAATAACAAAAATGTTAAGAAAATATTCAGTCAAACTGTTGATTGTCAAGCAGTAACTCAACAGTGTAGCACATACACCGTGTTCCCCACATTACTCGATGACTTGGAAAGCAAGGATAACAACACATTTTCACCTAGCTCATTTCCTGGGGAATTTCAGGTAGGTAATTGGCTCGTACACAATGCCTGATCTTGGGTTTGGGTAATTCAGCCCTGGAGTACATCTAGCACTTGAATGTGGTTTAATTTTGAGACTGAGACAGACATTGCTGAGTTGTGCTGATGGTTAAACCTGGAAGAAAATTAAATTCTACATTGAGTCGAGTTTAAGGCTTTACAAAGGGACAGTACTGAGAGTCACTTTTGCAGATGATCTGCACAGAAAGGCAGTGGCCTCTGAAAATCGAGATGTCTTGATGGGTAAGTTTATCAAGGGACTTCCTGGAGAATCAATAAGACACCACCTGGGTGTGAGAAACATTCGCACCATAACAGAGGTAGTTTCTGTCGCGGCAAAGAATGAAGTTGCAGGAGGATAAGAAGCCTGCGGCTACGGTAGCTGCACTTTAGACAGGTGCTGTTATGTTAAACTTATATTAAAGTTTTTCTTTATTACCCATTCAAGCCGTCTCCAAGCATTATTAGTCTCAAAGTGGGTTCCTCGTCATCGAATATGAAAACAGAAACCATATTAAGGGCTTACCAACCATCCACACATTCCAATGCTGCAACACAATCACATTGGTATCCAGTGGATGAGTAGGGCTGTCTTGCCATCTTATGATTTATATGTCACAGCCAATGCCGATGTTTCCTCCAGCTGGACGTAGTCCTGGAAGAGATAAACAAAGCATCTGCTCTGCCTGTGGAATGGCTCTTTCCTATAAAGCGAACTGTCTGTACCATGCCAGGCAGCAAGCTAGGCACTAAATTTGCAATACCAAGTGCCGAAGAGACCTTTTGCCTAATACCAGGGCCCATCAGGCTATATGGAATACTTGGTATTACTGGCGCACAAAAATATAACTAATAAAAAGGGAAAAAAAAGGGGGGGGGCTCGTAGATTAATTTACTCTGATCCTGCCTAAAAGAATTTCAAGTGCCGCAGCTATTGCGGATTCCCTTTTGTTATTGTTATTATTTTATTTGAACTAACTTTACTATCATTCAGAAGAACTGGTGAACCAGCAAGCTAGTTTTCATGTTCTAGGAGCGGATTATTCAACCACAGCGTCAACGGCAGAAAACTACGTTAGTAATTCTAAGAACTTATGAGTGAAAGCAAGACGGGTATGTTATAATATGTCAACCACATTATATATGTCATATATAGTGCCGACGAGGCCTTTCGCTCAATATCACGGCTTATCAGATCGGTTGGGGAACGACAGACATAGTAGTGGTTTAAGTCGGTGTTTCCTGCCCAAGGCACAATTACTTTAATAAAAATGTTGTGTAGCACCTCCCCTTTCTCCCCAGAACCTTATGAATATAAACAGAACCTACTTTTAATGTGAAATCTGAGCTTGTCTTGATGTGCAGAGTGTGGATTTATCTTGGCAGGAATGGTTGACAGTGCAGTTCAGAGCTCCTGTTCTTTCCCGAGTTAAACAAAATGATATAAAATTATAAACTTCACTCGTAGTATATGTTTCTAATAATTATAATGAATGTGGCATTTTAATTGCACCATTTTATCATAAATTTGTTACCGACTGATTGCTTTCCCTTAGGTAAACAGTTCTGAATTAGGGTTAGTTAAGCCTGAAGCTTAGGGTTAGTTAACTTAGTCTCTTAGATAATGTGTTGCATCTACTCAAAAGGGTTTACCTAAACTGCTTTAACTTATGCCAATTGATAATATTCTCGAAATGACCAATTTACCACAGGAATATTTAAATAAAAAGTTTTTTCTCTCTTTAATACTTCATTGCAATTTATTCAAAGATTTACACCATTAGTTTTTTTCTTCTTTTAAGCGCAAAGCTACACAATGAGCTATCTTAGGTCTGTTCGTCGTGGGAAAAAAATTAACACATTATTAAGATTTCTATATTATGTACATTGAAAGTGGACACAATTTTATAAAATTTCGAAAAGAAAACCTGGGGGGGGGGACAAAATAATTAACAAAACAACAACAAAAAACACGGTAACAATAATGTTGTATACTTTTTCCAAATTAACTTTGAAAAACGTAGTAACAATTAGACAAGCATGTTAAAAATTTTATATTGTGGTTAAAATGTATTCATTTTCTAAAAAAAACGTGGGAAAAAAATTATATGAAAATATGTGTGAAAGATGGAAGAAGCAAGTCTCGATTCTATGTTCATATTAAAATAAGAATATAAAAACATATACTGTATACACGTTTCTGTTTAAACTACGATCATTCGACAGATACTCACTCAAGTCGGTGCTGATAAATGCACACTTTTAAAATGTTTCTATTAGAGATTATCTCTGTCAATGAATCAAAGTTCGAAGATGTGTCACATTTATGACCTTGGCTCAGAAGTGGAAGTAAAGTGATTTGTTATAGAAGCATTGAGAAAGACCGGGTTTTGAGTTGTTATTTATAAATTTGGAACAGATTTAATGTCTGTTCGAATACCAGTGTAATGTAAATATCCGAAACAAGTCTCACTCACAGCAAGTTCGAAGTAACATAAGTCAGATTATTAATACATGAGAAACAAACTTGAAGATAAATGATATTTACGTCTAGGAATAACATTTCATGAGGCAATATAGCCATTTTTTTTTTACTTATGGCTGCTAATTATCATTTTTTGAAATCTTTTCAGTAAAGTTATTCGGTCTGTAAAACAGATGGTGTCCATTTTCACCTTCGTTTCATTTTATGTATTTATTAGTGCACATTCAACAAAAAATTTAGCTCACTCAAAAATGTTTAAAGAGGGAAAAGATAATTCACGTAATTATTTCTCGTTGAGAAAAATAAAAAATACACTAAGTAATGTAATGTTTTAATACTACTTTGAACACGAATTACATTTTCTGGTCTTTATAATTCACATTTAATATTTATAAGTTTATTTAGAACATGTACGTATATTACGATTTTATTTATGTAATGAACATAAATTCCTAATAATTCCACTGATTTAAAACTACTACTTTCTAGATGTTACCTCTATTTTGTAAGGAACGGGAACGCTGACAAGACCGAGAGGTTGTGGATCTAAACATGCAGATCCAGCGCCGCCTGGTAAGGAAAACTTACATTGCTGCAAAAGTCGAACAATAATAAGGAAAGTATCAGCCAGAGCCAGTTTTTCTCCCAAGCACATTCTACGTCCTTGTCCAAATGGAACGTAGCTACTGGTACGTTCGTTGGTCAAAGTTTTGTTTTCTGTTAGAAAACGATCAGGGTTAAAAACATCCGGGTCTTTCCAGTAGGTTTTATCTCGATGGTGAGCCCAAAGGTTGAATAGGACCATTGTGTCTTTAGGAATCTTATGTCCACCTGGAAACGAAAGGTACAAATATTTATGATTAAAGCGTCTGATTCATAAGATTGACTGTTAACACAAAATAAAGCGTCTGATTCATAAGATTGACTGTTAACACAAAATAAAGCGTCTGATTCATAAGATTGACTGTTAACACAAAATAAAGCGTCTGATTCATAAGATTGACTGTTAACACAAAATAAAGCGTCTGATTCATAAGATTGACCGTTAACCCAAATTTAAGCGTCTGATTCATAAGATTGACTGTTAATACAAATATGTGAAATAATTAAAAACACGTTGCACTTCAATACATGTCGGGTAATATCAAAACTAGAGTAATTTATCCACTAAAGTCCAGGGAAGAGTGGTTTGGTCATACTTATTGCCAGCAGCAAGATTGGAATTACGAAACTAATATAGCTAGAAGCTGCTGTACTCAGCTGGTAATTTTATAGGTTTTTCTTAATTTCATAATTTATAACATCTGAACAGCTTTTTATTGAAGTGAGAATAAGGTAGTTTTGCGATTGATACTTAAAGCAAAAATTTAATTTGTTATTACTATAGAATAGTACCATTTTGGCATCATGGTGATCATAGGATATCTATTAATTCAATTCCAATTAAAATAGTGTTCATCTTCTCGTTTGTTCATCAAAGGTCCGTGCCAAGGATGACTTTAGCCTAATATAAAAGTTATATGGGGGAAAGTTATTATAATCAACTTTTATAATTATTGTTAAAACGTCCACGATGTTGCATAAAATCCCCAATTCTACAAACGTTTATTTGGTTGTTAAAATTGTGTTTGATAACCTTACTTAAACTTTGATACAACTTATAGAAAGTTTAAAAGTACAGTGTTTAACCAAGTTTCATTATTTACGATAATCCATGTTTTGTAGCTTTCTCTAACACGTGTCTCAATGGTTGATGTAATACACTATATCTATTTCTGTGTCGCACGTAGTCTTATGGTTGATGTACTATATACTACACCTATTTCTGTGTCGCACGTAGTCTTATGGTTGATGTACTATATACTACACCTATTTCTGTGTCGCACGTAGTCTTATGGTTGATGTACTATATACTACACCTATTTCTGTGTCGCACGTAGTCTTATGGTCAATACCCAGTGGCACAACCGTTCCAAAACGCAACGTTTCCATGATAACGGCACTTATGTAAGGACACTGTGGTTTGTCATCCTGAACGGGAGGTCGGTTTCCTGCAGAACAAAACCGGTTAAGTAAACGTTCTACATAGATTTCTTGACATAAATTATACAGGTGTACATGGTTAGAAAAACTACAATTGAACAAACCGTTTAAGTATACCTTCGAAACACATTTCTTGATATAGCGCACAAGTCCAAAAAGCTGCTGTTTTCGAATTGATATATTTTCTTACATTGGTTGTACACAACACCACTCTATTGTACTTACGAAAATATTAATCACTAATAACAGACCCCCCCCCAAACCCCAGAGAAAAAACCCCCAAAATAAGAAGAAAGAAGTTAGTGTTTTTTCTATAAATTCCAGAAACAGTTATTCCATTTTCTGGACATACAAACTGTAGCTATTTTTGTGACTACATTGTCTTGGGATATTACTCTGAAGGAAGAGGAATACGTTTCGTCAGTTAGTGGTAAGTTTCTATTTCAAATTTCATAAACGGAACTGTGTTGTGTACTTGTTTTAACTCCCATAAGGGAAATCAGTGAGTAAAGAATATACGGTATGTTAGTATAACCACTACATTATCAAAAGCGAAAACACCGATTTTAAGATATCTAAATAAAACTATAGAACAGCTAAAAATAAATACCGTTTTTTTTAAGGAACAAGGAAAAGAGAAACCATACTTATAAATTAATGAAGTAACTTCTGTGTAACGAGTTCCCCGGTGGGACAGTTAACGGACTTACAACGCTAAAATCTGGGGTTTGATTCCCCTCATTGGGCACAACAGATAGCCCAGTGTGGCTTTGCTGTAAAGTAACAAACCAAACAACTGTATAACAAACTAACTGGCTAGAAGATGATAATGTTGCCAATCGGTTTACAATAAAAACTAAATATTTGAATGATTAAAACGCATTAAATTATCATTTGGGTACCCTCGCTTGTAATGCTGCTGTCGGCCACAATCCCAACAACGTTTTTTAAGGTCCGGCAGCTTGGAGACTGAAACTAGTCCTAAAATCCATACACTAGACTAACAATTCACAATATTCATCATAAGTGCAAAAATTAATAATGACAAAAATATTTAAAAATTTTGTAAAAGTTATTACTAATAATAGCAATGAAATTAACCATAATTAATCATTACTTACAAAAAAAGAAATTGTGCTCAGTAAATCAAAACCCGAATAAACTTATAAGTGTTCACGTAATAGTAATAGAACACAATCAATAGCAAAAACTAGTCGTAATATTACAGTTAAAGTACATTTCATCTGCTACAGTGCTTCAATATGAATCCGCTTTCAGCAAGAAAAACTTCAAATTGAAATTCATTTTTATCTTTTAAACTATCGCATGGTTAAATAATAATTTCCTTTCTTATTTTAAAATGCATTAACGTTTTCAAGCAAACTATATGAGAGTGAACTAACTTAATCCATAATATGCAACACACAACATTTAAATAGTTAAAAATCAGAAGAAAATACATGGTTAAAAAAAACAAAAAAAATTTTGCCTTAACAGTTGTTATGGTATAACACCTTTTCTGTTATTATAAGTAATTATATTTGTTACAAGGCATTAGTGTTAGGCATATTCTATTTTTTAAAACTGTGTTCTTTATCTTCTTCATTATGGATTTTTTAAGAATCAGAAAAATGTATAAATATAGTATTGTTATGGATATGGCGAACATATTGTGGTTGGAATACTATTATATTACCCTCTTCTAATTATTGAAAATTCCTAACAAATAAATAAAGAATGCAGTGTTTAAAAATATAATTGGCCTGATATCCAGGTCTTATGACAAGTATAATTAATTATAATCATGCTTTGCCAGCTTGGAAAAGACGTCCACACCATAACAATTGTTGTTGTAACAAATGGCTTACATGAATAGTGTTCTGACCACTACTGTGTTTGTTGTGTCTCAGTTGCTCCAATGAGCTCTGGATTAAGCGAAATGCGTCGTTGGCAATAGATATGGCGAACACTTTCGTAATTTTTGGGAATGCTCAAGGAACTAGATATAATGCAGTGTTAAAATTTAAAAGGCATAATACTAATGTTATGACAAGCACGATTAATTTTTACCTCAGTTAGCTTAACAATTCAAATGCCCATTTATGTTATTATTGGGTTACATTTCTGTTTAAAAGTTATTAATGTGAAGTAATGTTAATACAAAAGTTTCACCTTACCTATTACGTTCTCTATTTCTTCATACATTTTTTGCTGGACTTCGGGAGAATTGGCCAATAAAAGAACCATCCATCGCAGAGTCATCTGTGTCGTATCAGTGCCAGCTGCGGAAAAAAAATCATTCCCCAACTAGTTATAATTATGAATGTTTAGATTTTCGACCAGTTGATCGGTCTAACAGTAATACTCAGGTTCCGAAAACACTTTTTATTTAAAAGTTACTTAAATGTTATTATTTGCAACAATAATACGTTAAGTTCGTCGTGATCACAGAAAACCTAGTTCATGAAGAACACGAGTTCACTAACCTGCAAAAAGGTCAGATATTACTTGAGCCAAGTTTCCATCGCTAAGGTACTGAAGAGAATTTTTACCCTCCTCTTTTGCTTCCTGTCTTGCTAACAGGAGAGCGTCAGTAAAATCTCGAATGATATCTGAAAAACAAAACAAAAAACGAATTAGAACAAGAAAACATTTACTAATTTTTAGCTGCTGTATCATATACATTTGTCTGTTTAATGTTGTAAATAAATGAAACACAAATCATTTACTGGAGATTGCTAAACAATAATAATACATTTTCAAAGTTAGATAATTTACTGAGGTTTAGAACATGTTTGCTGGTAATCGAAATATGTAAGCCTATGACTAATTCAATTACAAATATAGTTCTAAAATAATTATGTAAATTATAGAGTAAGTTTATATACGTATAGTAGCTGGTGGAGGATGGAAGACAATAGGAAACACGTACCAGGTTGATAAGTTTTTTTATGTTCATCGATCTTGGTTGTCAAAATGGCTAGGAACTTCTTCACAGACTTTACCAGTTTTTGTTCTCGATTAACATAGAAGATTCTCAGGAGAGGAATGAAATCACTAGGTAAACCATTGCCAAACTCGTTTAAAAACAGTTCGCTCTGTTCTTTTAAATCCTGGTATTCCTCGTCTTCTTCCTTATACCTACAGTAATTTCGGTTCTTTCTAAGTGATACTTGTTTTCATAACTATCAAGAAACCCTTTAACTAGGAACAATAGAATTTGCAAAAGATTCGTGAAAAGACAACTTAAACCATTAACACGCCGTTTTTAAGAATTTTCGCACAAAGACACACACAAAAGGCTATCTATGTATAACCGTCCCTAATCTTTAACTGACAGACAGAGGGAAGGCAGCTAGTTAACAACACTCGCCGTCAATTTTTGGGATACTATAGTCTGACCGAAGAATGAAATTTGAGCTTCATTCTTGTAACGGATCAGTGGCATTTTTTGCGGCGAAAAGAAGCAAGCCGCGAATTCTTGGATTCACAGTCCAGGCAGCACACTAACCATAGGCCACGCCAAGCCTATTTAAACAAATATAGACAGCTACATTATTTTTCATTGGTTTAATTTTAATTTGTATAAGAGAAAACGTAATGATACATTGTTAAGAAACAGTGTGTAAAGATGGACCTGAATAAACTTATTGTTTTTTTTCTCTAGAATTCATCTGTACAGATCCACAAATGAATTCATGAAATTTTTTTCCTACCTGCTAGGTCTTTAAAATACATTTTTCTTAAGCCAAAAATTTAGTCTCTCAAAGAAAAAAATCAACTTAAATACATCAAAATTAGGGTTATAACTATCGCCAATAATTAACCAAATAGGTCTTCGAAGTAAATGTTTACAGGCAAGGTTTTTACTACCTACCACTATTTGTGTCAAGTTAACCTTCGGAGGTTTTTATTTGTTTACGATTTTGGGATTATATTTAGCCAAGGATTGAGAAAAACCTCCTGTTCTATGAAATATAAATCCACCAAACAATTAAAAGCATCGATTTTCAGTGTTTTTGAAGCGATTCTATAAAACACGTGTATTTGAAGATGAACGTACCATTTAAACATCCAGGCGGATTTATGCTACTGTATCAAAATTTTATGTAACGGCGTCAAACAGATAATTTGTCTTTTTCCAACCATACCTTTTCCCGAACGCTGAGGAAGCAATAATGTTGTAAAGAATCACGTAAAGATGACTGGTTGGATCAAAAGGTTCTTTTTCTTGAAGCATCTTGTGAACGGTGTTATCCACGACATCAGTTACGAGCTTTGCTAACTTCTCGCTTACAGCGTATTTCCTATTTCAAGTAAATGAAAATAATTTGAGAAGAGGAATTTCATGACTAGCAAATGAATAGTCGAAATAATATTTCTAGCTTATATAGAATACAAATTCATAATGTCTTTTGCAGACTTACGATTAAATACAAATTCTCTGAGAAAACTTAAGCTCAACAACTTTCCATTTCCCACTATGACTTTTGTGTTTGATTGTTTTGGTTTCTTTTGTATTTCGCGCAAAGCTACACGAGGGCTATCTGCGCTAGCCGTCCATAATTTGGGAGTGAAAGACTAGAGGGAAGGCAGCTAGTCATCACCACCCACCGCCAACTCTTGGAATACATTTTGACAAACGAATAGTGGTACTGACCGTCACATTATAACGCCCCCACGATTGAAAGGGCGAGCATATTTGGTGGGACGGGGGGATTGGAACCCGGGACCCTCAGATGGCGAGTCGAGCGCCCTAACCACCTGGTCATGACGGGGCCTTTTTTGTGTTTGAACCAGGACGGGGGGATTGGAACCCGGAACCCTCAGATGGCGAGTCGAGCGCCCTAACCACCTGGTCATGACAGGGCCTTTTTTGTGTTTGAACCATATGGTATTTATATTTCAAATACATTAGTCGTTGCCTCGTAACTGTAAGATGATTTTTAAGTCTCTGTCAATTCAAAATACATCATGTATAGACGATGGATTATTAATATGTATATTGTATTTTACCGACACTTTTTAACACCATCTATTGACAGAATGAATTTACAAAACATTCCAAATTTAATATTTGTAAATGGTCTAAAATGTTAGCATATGGCGTTAGAAGTACACAATAATAATGAGCTTTCATTTCAATAGTATATACATATTTGTGAACATATGGCTATTACATTTTTGAAGCACATTTTAAAGCATAACGTTAAAAAGATGGAATTCATGTTTTGATTGTAAAGAGTTCAAGTGTCAGGTGAATCGTGAAAAACTTTAATCAGGTTGGTCTATCTCTGATAATATATTATACCATGATGTTGGAAAAAAACACGCAGGTTCAAGAAGTCTTGATAGAAATGAATAAAAACATTATAACCCGAGCGCTTTCGAAAGGTGGACCTTTCTTCTTCTTCAGTTTGCCCATGTGTATAGCATGTGTGTATACTAAACCGTTTCATGTTTTGTAAACACGTTTTTGGACTGAATTGTAATTACTTATTTTTTGAATTTTCCAATATATTGTTTGTTTTTGTGCAAACTGCACAATGGGCAATCTTTGCTGTATCCACTATACAGATCGAACTCCAAATTCTAGCATTATAAGCCCTGAAGGTTCCCATTGAGCCACTGAGGGACATATGTTTGTCATTAGCAAATAAAGTCTCTTCTACTACAGTATGAAACATGTGTTCAGTCTCTTTCCTCTATTCAGTCAGGTCATAATTCATTTTAACACAATACGTATACTGTCAAACACATTTATAGAGTCATTAATATCTTAACTGTAGGAAATCAGTTTTCTGAGAATGACATGAACAGATAACATTCCTAATGGGTGAATGCTGTACCTCTAAATTTGTTTTGTTAATTCCATTAGTGAAGTTAATGGCATTCCCGTTCGACCACTGCATACCTCAAGGTACTGGAGAAGAAAATGGGTATTCATGCTATTTCACAAGAATACAAACTGGCCAAATTGTCAAATGCAATGCTTATGAATTTCTTTACAATCATACTGTTGAAACGGGTGCTGTGAAACCATAATCTTTGTACGCCACAAAGATCATGGAAATATAGCTGGAAGGAATGATGTGCTTTGGACATGACAAACTTACGATGGAGGCTTTTATGGTGGAAACTCCACTGTAAAGCGATTGTCAGGTATTGTAACGACGTGGTGAGACACTAAAAATTTTTCAGTTTAACGTAATTAACCATCTGTATATAATTATTTTTCGTTTTTATGTACATCATATATCTCACGGTATAACATTATACAATGCCTATCATACTCACCTCACGGCTGAGTGCGCCATCTTTCGTAAAACCTCCCATTCTTGAGAATAATCTGCAAAAACGATGTCTTCATACCCTTGTTTGATTACTTCGGCTGCAGTAAAATTAAAGGTCAAATAACGATGAATAAATGATTTAGTATAACAGAAATAATAAAAAAATTCACCTTTCACACTCTAGTAATTATTTTACTCTTTAAAATTATACTCACTGAAAAACGGCAACAACTAAATATAAATATCCTTCTTTTGTGAGCCAGGGGGCGTTTGACTCGCAACATACGGGTCGCGGGTTCAAATCTCCGTCCCACTAAATATGTTCGCCCTTTCAGCCGTGGGGGCGTTATAATGTGACGGTCAAT